GGTTTACATTTCTATGGGTTCCGTACCAATGTTTACGCGTTAGACGGCGACGCGGCGCTTACGCGCTTTGATATTTCGTCTTTAATGCAGTTAAGCAGTACGATTGCTTTGAAAAAAAGTTTAGATCTTCAAAGTATGTCAAAATAAAGAAAAATTTTTTTCAAAAAAAAAATTAAAAAAAAAAATGAATTTTTTTTTTTCAAAAAAAAGTAATTTTTTTGTCCAATTCATTTTCTTCTTCCAAAAATCTTATTTTTTTCAAAGTCAATTTTTTTCAAAAATGTTAATCGTTTTTAAAAAAATAATAATTTTGGTACGGGAAGTTTCCAGCCATTTGTTTTAAGGCACGATGCCTTAATTGCTTTAAGACAGAATTCCACTTACAGCTAGTCTTGTAAGTTTGGATTATATTCTTAACAATTACACAAAAAATGCAGTCCGAACATAAAAATTAACTAGCTGTAAGTGGAATTCTGTCTTAAGGCAATTAAGGCATACCGAGGCACTTTTGCCCCGTATCTTCGGAGCGTTTAGACCTGCCTTCGCCTAAAACTAATCAGCACGTCTCTTTATCAATACGAATCGAATGTTTTTTGAATTATTCAATGTTTTTTGAATTATTCAAATCGTTGATCCGTGTTCCCGAAATCGTCGACGAAAATTTGTATCCGCACATACATACACACACGTAATACACACACACACACATACATCTATTCTTTTCTAAGGTATGCCAAAATGTTCAGAAACCTTTGAAACGTAAATATATATATATATAAAAATTTTCATTTTCGATTTTTTTGCGATTACTATAACTTGCCCTAAGGGAAGTTAAAAAAAAAACAAATTTACATTGAAAAATGTATCATACTCACATATAAGGAAAAGTCATAAAGTTTGCTGACTATTCAATTACGTTTGATATGAAAAATACTAATCAAAAATCAAAAACGGTCATTTGTTTAATTACAATTCAATCGTCCTTTACAGATGTATCAAAGTTAAAGACATCTCTGGTGAGTTTCTGTCTGGTTATTACGAAGAATACGATGTCCGATACATGTTCTGTCCTGAAGAAGGTCGTACCAGCAAAGGTTTAATGGATCTCACCAACGATGTAAGATGCTCAGAGCAACAAGACTGTTATTCATGTGTTCAAAATAAATTCGACTGCGTCTGGTGCGTTCCTGGTGACCAGATACATCGTGCAGGGTGCTACAGAGAGAAATGCAGAAAAGATGTCACCACAATTTCGGACTGGAACAGAAGAAAGATTAAGGATTTGGACGAGTGTCCGAGTGATAATGCACCGATTTGTAAACAGTTGCATACTTGTCACGCCTGCAGGGCTAACCGGGGAAAATGCTCATGGGATTATGAGAATCCTAAATGTAGGGCTGTGGAGAACCGGACTATCGTTGGTGAGTACTAGTGTTTGTAAATAAATAGAAGTTAATGGGTACACCTAGTGTGAGATTCTCAAAAAATCGAATTTTTATTTTTTCCATATTTTGATAGGTTATACCTTCAAAAATAACATACCGAAATTTTAAATCGATATCTTAAGTAGTTTTTGAGTCACAGCCCCCTGGGAAAGATAAAAACTAGGTGCAAGTGGCATTTAGCCATAAGGCAAGTTGCATGAACTTCCCGAAATGTGTAAGAATTGACCTAATCAAGCCAGAAAAATTATCCCTAAAAGACTACCTTAAGTAGTGATTTATAGTTTATTAAATGTTTAATATTATTAGTTTTTATTTAAGTGGCACAACTAGTGTGAAGTTTTCAAAAAATCGAATTTTTATTTTTTCCATATTTCGATAGATTATACCTTCAAAAATAACATACTAAAATTTTAAATCGATATCTTAAATAGTTTTTGAGTCACAGTCATTTAAAGAGTATATATATAGTGTATAGTATAAGGATCGTTTTATCTTCAAACGCGTTTTTCTCGAAACAGCATTTTCCGAATTTGCTGCAACGATTACTCAAAAACAAATGTTTCGATCACTATCAAATTTTTTTACATGTTTTGTATATAATTCTCCGTACAATGACCTATCGATTTTTTGATCGGATCAAAAATTGAACTTTGGCAGTCCAAAAACGACCAAAATTTTGGGTAAAATTCGACTTTTTTTTAAAAAAACTTCGTCATTTTGTCAGTTTTTGATTTTTTTTATTTATTGTAGGTCATTTTATAGAAAATATTATCTAGTTTAACGAGATTTTTTCAACTTCCCGTAGCGTAAAAAATGAAAATTTTTGCATTTCTCGACGTTTTGAAGGTTTCTGAACGTTTTGGCGTACCTCAGAAAAAATGGATGTGTGTGTGTGTGTTTTGTATGTCCGCATTTTTTCGTCCACGTTTTCGGGCGCACGGATCAACCGATTTGAATGGTTTAAAAAACATTCGATTCCTATTGATAGGGTGATGTGTTGATTAGTTTTTGGCAAAGGTAGGCCCAGCGGTTTCGGAGATACAGAGCTAAATGTTAAAAAAATGGCAGTTTTTAAGAGAACCAAGCGTCCGATTTAAATGATTCAAAGAACTTTCTGCTTGTTTCAACAAAATAATTGCTTTTGGAAAAAAACATTTTGTTTCTAATTTTTTTTTAAAAAAAATATTTTTGTAATTAATTAAAAAAATCACCCAGGCTAAGCACAGTCTAAGCGCCACTCTGGTACAAATGTTTACCCAAGTTCGTTTAGACTGTTTATGTACTGGAGAACTAATCTAGAAATAAAAAAGAGACTCTACTGATGAGCAAACTAATCTAGAATTAAAAAAGGGACTACTGACGAGCAAACTAATCTAGTATTAAAAAATTGACTCTACTGACGAGCAAACTAATTTAGTATTAAAAAAGGGACTCTACTGACGAGCAAACTAATCTAGAATTAAAAAAGGGACTCTACTGACGAGCAAAAGCTAAAATATACAAAAAAGAGAGTCTACTGACGAGCAAACTTAATCTAGTATTAAAAAAGGGACTCTACTGACGAGCAAAACCTAAAATATACAAAAGGGATTCTACTGACGAGCAGACGAGTATTTCAGTTTGCTCATCAGTTTATATAATGCAAAATATAATTTGTTTGTCAGTAGAGTCCTTTTTATTTTTATGTCTGGTAAAATACAGTTGATGATGAAAAATACTAAATACAAAAATTCAAAAAATCACCCAGGCTAAGCACAGTCTAAGTGCCACTCTGGCACAAAATTATTTGCAAATGCGTTTAGACTGTGACTATGCGGTAGCACTTTTTCAATTTTGTGTAAATTAGGCACCTATTTTTTTTTGAAATTGAATTCGAAATGAAATGACGATTGTTAATGTAATAATTGATTTATGATTTACATTTAATTTGTTCAGATATAACAAGATAGCAAAAATAATGAAAGTTACAGTATTTGTAATCATATATTTGAAAACGTTTAAAAATTTTCGAATATTTCATTACGGTACGGGAAGTTCCAGCAATTTGCCTTAAGGCACGATGCCATACACCACTAGTTTCTTATTTTTATTATAAGTCATTGTACAGACGATATTATCTAGTTTAACGAGAATTTTTTAAAATTATGTTTTATCAACGGAGAAGGCTGCAATCACTGCAGCGGTGTAGGATCTTTTTTTTGGCGCCGCCGGAGATTGCATGTTATTTCAAAAATATTTAATATTTTATTTCAAAAAAATTAACTGTGTATTCTCAAAACATGTATAAACATACCCTCAAAATTTCAAATAGATGAATTCACTAGTTTTTTTATAAATGACCTTTTTTTAGGTTGTCATACTAGGTGTGCCCCTTACTATAATTGTGTAATGATTAACTTTGTTTCAGCTATTCAACCGGCAAGTGTAGATATTTTATCTTCTTCTGTGGGTCATCCTTCAGTAGAAATCTCTGGAGGAATCGATCATCCGTCTTTACTAGAAGGTGGAGCCTTAGAACATCACGTAAATGCACCTACGTCCATGCAATCAGTGGCGACTCCTCCATGCTCGCCGCCTTGCTCAGAGTTATCCTCGTGCCACAATTGTACGCAGGAGGAATGTATATGGTGTCAGAATGAAGGTAACTAATATAATTGACATATTTATTTGTACACCTTGTGTAAGGTAAGGGGCCCAGTTTCTGACCTTTTTAGAGTGACGGTGGAGGTTAAACTATAATAATTAATATAAAACTTAACTTAATGAAGAAAATTATAATTTTATCTATTAGTTTAGGATTTTTAAAATAGAGTAATGTGCATAAAAAAATTATTTGAACTAAATTTATATTTTAAATTGACGTTTTAAAAATTGACATTAAGAGCTCCAGTTTCTGACCCTCAGAATTCTTCGTGTGGCAGTTTCTGACCCTGACCGTAGCCCAATTTCTGACCCTCAAATTTAATCATGATTAGGTTATGAAGTGCTTACTAATTTTAAATAAACTGAAATTATTATTGAAATAAATAAATTAAATATTTATTCTAAAAATATACAGTTTGTTAAAATTTAACGTATAAATAGTTCAAGTCTTATTATAACATATTACACAAACAAAAAAATTAAAATTAATTATTTAAATTACTTGCCCTTTTTTTATTTTAAGAGCTTTTTGTTTCTTTTATTCTTCAAGTTTTTCTTTTTTAATTATTTTTTCTGCCTCCTTGATGGCTTTATTTTTGGACCTTTCAGCTTTTTTCAATTCTTTTTCTTCTTCTAATTTTCATTTAATTAATTGTAATTGTATAATTGTATAATAATAAAAATATTAGTAAACTAAAACAGTCATAATTTAAGCGTTGATAAAACTGACATTTTTTTTATCACTTAAAAGATGTATTTACAAGATTTAAATACAATCTTTCATTTATACCAATGAATATTAAATGTAAATTTATCACTTTACTACGAAAAATAGTAAAAAAAAAATATAAGATAACAATAAATATTATTATTTTTACATTTAATGAACAAGTGACTAAAAACATGTGACAGATAACCTAGCTTTTAGAAGGTTAGAATTGCAGGGTCAACAACTGTGACATACACTTAAAATTGAGCCTAGTTATTGACCCTCAAATTTCAGTAATAAAACTAAATTTAATATGTTTTATAAATATTTTAAAATAAATTTTAATTAATTATTGACTTATTTTTAGTTAGATTTTCGTACTTACATCATAATTAGTGCACGAACTCAATTGTCGTAGCTCCTTACATAAACTGTTTAGACTAAAGCTAAAAAATGGCTTCCACAGTCACTTTTGGTTTAAAAATTTTTTTTTATTTAGTTAATATTTTTTATATTTTTTTAATTGACATTAATGAGGCATAGAATAAATTGCTGTCAATTAAGAAAAAATTTATTTTCACATTAAATGTATAGTTTTTTAATTAATTCCAAAAAAAGTTGAAAAGGTCAGAAACTGGGCCAGGGTCAATAACTGGGTCTTTTACCTTATAACATTTTTGGTTTTTTAACAGGTCGATGTGTTGATAAAAATGCTTACACTGCCAGTTTTCCTTACGGACAATGCAGGGAGTGGACTACAGTCACCAGTAGGTGTAGATCGGCTGTACAAGGTAAAGTAGAACATTTATAACCAAACTAGTGGTGTATGGCATCGTGCCTCAAGGCAAATTGCTCGAACTTTCCCGTACCGTAATGAAATATTCGAGAAATTTTAAACGTTAATAACAAATACTGTAAGGTTAATTATTTTTGCTATCTTGTTTGTTAAATCTGAGCAAATCAAATACAAATCATAAATCAATTATTACATTAACAATCGTCATTTCATTTCGAATTCAATTTCAAAAAAAAATAGTTGACTAATTTACACAAAATTAGAATATAAAAAAGGGACTCTACTGGCGAGCAAATTATTCAATAACCTAGAAGAAAATAAAAGGACACTACTGATCAGTAAGATTATTAAAGATAAAAAAAAGATATAAAAAGATATTAAAGATATAAAAAGAGTCTCTACTGACAAGCAAATCATTGAATAACCTAGAAGAAAATGAAAAAGGACTCTACTGACGAGCAAATTATTACGTAATCTTGAATATAAAAAGAAACTCTACTGACGAGCAAATTATTAAAAAAATCAGCAAAATAAAAAAAGGACTATACTGATCAACAAGTTTATTAGCAATTTAAAAAAATAAGTCTCTACTGACGAGCAAAATAAAAAATGATCTAAAAAATAAATCAAAAATTATAATTTTCCATATTATCAAAATTGAACAAGTGCTCCCGTATAGTCACAGTCTAAACGCATTTGCAAATAATTCTGTGCGACATTTTCACTTATACTGCGCTTAGCTTGGCGGCATTTTCACATTTTTCAATAGTTTTCACAAAATTCGAATTGGAAAAGTGCTCCAGTACGTGAACATTCTAAACGCACTTGGGTAAATATTTGTATCAGAGTGGCGCTTAGACTGTGCTTAGCTTGGGTAATTTTTTAAATTTTTAATACAAAAAATATTTTATGGAAAACAAAAAAAATAAAAGGGACTTTACTGATGAGCATATTGAAATATCAATACAAATAGAGACTTAACTGACGAAAATATTAAAAAAAGGGACTCTACTAACAAGCAAATTAAGGTGTCCGTAAAATAAAGGAACTCTACTGATGAGCAAATTTAAAATGTCATTACAAAAAGAGATTCTACCGACGAGTATATTAGGAAAGGAACTCTACTGACGAGCGTTTTAAAATATCAATATACTAAAGAACTTTACTGACGAGCAAATTAATATTTAAGTACAAGAAGGGACTCTAGTGATGGGCAATTGAGAATGTTAATAGAAATGGGAATTCCACTGACGAGCAAATTAAATTTTTAGTACCAAAGGGGACTCTACTGACGTACAAATTAAAATGTTAATACAAAAAGGGACTCTACTGACGAGCAAATCAAAATTCTAATTTAAAAAGGGACTCTACTGACGAGCAAATTAAAATTTCAATACATTTGCAAATAATTCTGTGCGACATTTTCACGTACAATGTGCTTAGCTTGGCGGCATTTTCACATTTTCCAATAGTTTTCTCACAAAATTGGAAAAGTGCTCCAGTACATAAACGGTCTAAACGCACTTGGGTAAACATTTGTACCAGTATGGCGTTTAGACTGTGCTTAGCCTGGGTAATTTTTTGAATTTTTAGTCCAACAAAAATATTTTGTGGAAAATTTTTATGGAAAATAAAAAAAAGGATTTAATTTAATATTGTTTTATCCTCAAAAGCAATTGTTTTGTCAATACAAGCAGAAAGTTTTTTAGATCATTCAAATCGGACGCTCAGTTCACTCAAAAACTGCCATTTTTTGCACATTTAGATCTGTATCTTCGAAATGGCGGGACCTGTCTTTGCCAAAAACTAATCACCTCTTTTCCCGCCACAAATTGAATGTTTTTTAGATCATTCAAATCGGATACTCCGTTCTCTCAAAAACTCGATTTGTATTTTCTGCACTATTTGCTCCGTATCTCCGTAACGGCTGGGCCTGCCTTACCAAAAACTAATCAGCACATGTCCCTATCAATAGGAATCAAATGGTAAATGAATCATTCAAATCGGTTGATCCGTGCTCCCGAAAACGTGAACAAAACACACACACACATCCATTTAGTTTCTTAGGCCCTTAAAAATGTTCAGAAACCTTCAAAACGTCGAGAAATGCAAAAATTTTCGGCCCATTACTATAACTACCCTACGGGAAGTAGTAGTACTAAATTTAAATAAAGTTTGCTTCAATCCAAATTGCCTTTTACATCTAGTCAACTTATATTTTCTTAATTTTTTTTCCAGGCGAGTCCCAATGCACATTCTATTCAACCTGTGGTCAATGTCTCGGAGAACCAGCTTGCGGCTGGTGCGACGATGGCTCCGACACCGGTCTGGGGGCATGTGTAGCCGGTGGTGCTTCTGGTCCTCATCAGCATCCTGCCCCAGAAGTCAGTTTAGGAACTTGGGATGAAAGGGTTGAAGACGGGAAGCACAGTTGGTGTCCGGCTGAGAGGTGGCACTTTACTACTTGTCCGAGGTAAAGAAAATAATAGATGATAGATAGATACTTTATTCAAATTCAATATTTACAATTTATGTGGCACAACTATTTAAAGAGTATATGCAGGGCCGGTCCTGCCTTGAATGCAATGCATGCAAAAAATGCGGGCGCAGGCCTTAGGGGGCGCCAAAACGAGGTTCAGAAATGGAATTTATAATATATTATTTTTTATTTTTTTAAATATAAAATCCCGAATACTTAATAGATTATGATAAACAATCCAACTTAACTATGAGTCATAAAAGGCATATTCAGTTTGCAATGTGATATCAATAGAAACAATTAACCAAATAATAACTCAAATAACGCAAATTTGTAAATTATTGTTCTGCTTATTGTTTAATGTACTCTTAATTTTTTTTCTTCGTTTGAAGTTAACGTGAAATCGAAAAAAAATTATCTAGTGTTCATTTCCTAAGCGCAAACCTACGAAAGTTTAAATTAATTATTGGGCGTCATTGATGAAAAATTGCGAGCTGATTTATTTGAAACGCTACTTATTAAAGAAATATATATTAATTATAATAGAAAAAATGAAAAATGGGGAGTCAGTGCTGAGAAAATGGATTGTTTATTCCGAGAAATTGAATTGTAACTTTTGTTTTTGTTAGAAATGTTTCGCATCTGATGAACTTTGAACGTTGAAGACATGCGTGGTTAGTGTTATGAAAAAATCCAAAAATGACTTTGGAACAAAAATTGTTGAGCTTTTTTCATACCTAGTGGTGCCCATACTCTAAATTTAATTATTAACTATGCAAAAATAATACAGATACAAATACAATCAGGTTTTTTTCAATATTCAGGAAATAAGTGATTTATTTGCATCTTTTACTGATCTTTAGACAATACTTTTAAAATACGTTAAAAATTTAACTTTAATACAACAATGTGATACTCTGAATCTAATGATGAATCAATTCGGCCTCTACGATATCAATATGGAGAAGTTTACGATGCACTTTTTAATATTGTAAATACTGAAAAAATAAATCAACCCACGAATTGCCTCGATTTTCTAAATAAATTTAAAATCCATGTATTTTATATAAATTATAACTAATTTTTTCTTACGATTAAAAATTAATTGAAAAAATGTACGTAAATATTTAAATACTTTTATTGATAAACTGTTAAAACAGTTAAAATTATTGGGGGGGGGGCGCAAGAACAAATTTTGCATGCGGGCGCTGAGGACCCCAGGACCGGCCCTGAGTATATGTATAGTATATAGTAAATATAACGATCATTTTATCTTTAAACGCGTTTTTCTCGAAACAGCATTTTCCGAATTTGCTGCATCGATTACTCAAAAACAAATGATCCGATCACTTTCAATTTTTTTACATGTTCTATATATAGTTCTGCGTAAAATGAACTATTGATTTTTTGATCGGATCAAAAATCGAATTTTGGCAGTCCAAAAACGACCAAAATTTTGGGTAAAATTCGACTTTTTTTAAAAAAAACGCCGCCATTTTGTCAATTTTTGATTTTTTTTATTGTAGTTAATTTTATAGACCATATTATCTAGTTTAACGAGAATTTTTTTTTTTAATTTTATCCACGTAGAAGGCCGGAATCACTGCAGCAGCGAAGGTTTTTTTTTTGTCGCGCCCTCGGAGATCGACGATAACTTAAAAAATGTTAAATTCTTTTCTTCATAAATTTTACTATGTTTTCTTAAAACATGTATAAATATATTCCTAAAATTTTGAAATGATTGATAAAGTAGTTTTTTTAATATAAATTCCCAAAAATCACTTTTTTTAGGCGGTTACACTAGTTGTGCCCCTTAAGTCAATACAATTATTATTTTCATCACAATACTATAATATAACTAAACTAATATCAGTTATGTTTGAACAACTCTAACATATACAGGATTATATAGTCATATACGGATGCATACGACTACTAGTTTGTTTGGTATTTAGCCTTGAGGCAAGTTACATGAACTTCCAGATATGTGTAATTAATCGACTTAATCAATAAAAAATAATTTAATTGATGAGTTATTAGAAGTATTCCGAGTGGATTTATTACACGAACGAACGAACCTTTTGACTCGGAGTATTTTCTAATAGCAAATTTTCAAAAATCACCAGTTTTTATAATTGAACCAGTTTCCATAGGACCTCAATGGTATACTATGTTCATTAAAACCAAGTACTCTATCGTTATACCAAGGAAATCGTCTAATTTTAATTTTAACAAACGTGAAAAAAACTACTCATTTTCTGAATCTTTGATTAATTTTTAAAATTAAACCACTTGTCGTAAGGCCGTGATATTTCAGTAAGTTTTAGAAGACCATGATATATATCGCCAAAAAAAGTTCCATGAAAATCGACTTAAATTTTTTTTTCAACAGTGAATTACAAAAAAAACGGCTCGGTAGATTTTCAACTAAAACTGATCAGTATTATTCCCAACTAATAATAATAATATCTTTCTTTTAATATCTTTCGAACAGTTGTTGATTTTTTAAAACCGGTTCGGTAGGATGGGCTTAAATGTGAACGAAAACTTTAACACTTTTTTCCAAATTACAAAAAAACGGCTCGGCCGATCGCCGCACAAAACTGAGAAACGATAATCCTCATCGAAATACATCAAATGGTTTTTAAATTTATGAAATCGGTTCAGGCGTTTTCGAGCAAACGTCGATGAAAGTTCTAATTTTGACAAATACCAAAAAAAACAATACCAATTTTTGCAAACTTAGACAAATTTTTAAAGCTAAACGAGTTGTCGTAGGGCCGTAATATTTTAGTATGATCTACAAGACTATGGTATGTACCGTCAAAAAAATAATAATAAAAATAGTCGAAATTAATTTCTTAAACTTACAAGAAAACGGCCCAGCCGATCTTTACCAAAAACTAATCAGCACGATTCCCAACCAATATCTTTTGGACGGTTTTTGAATTTTCAAAATTGATTCAGAATTGCGGGCTAAAACGTAGACGTAAAATTTTTCACTTTTATGCGATTTATAAAGAAACGGCTTGGCCGATCGTCGCACAAAACTGACAAATAAAAGTCCTCATCGAGATACATCGAATGGCTTTTAAATTTTTGAAATCAATCCAGCACCTTTTGGAGAAATTGTCGATTTACGGCAAAAAATCTGTTCACACACACACACACATACTTTTTCCTTAAATTTGGTCTCATTCGATTCAGAATGGCTTGAAACGTCGAGAAAACATAAAATTAGCGAGTCAGATTTTTTGATGAAAACATAAAATTAGCGAGTCGGATTTTTTAATGAAAACATAAACTTCTCCTTCGGGAAGTTAATAAGAATTTTTGGGGTGCTGCATAAAAGGTGCCATAAAGATATATGTATATATTTCCTATTTCTTTCAGTTGCCAATGCAATGGCCACAGTACTTGTTCAACGAACTCCTCAATTTGTAGACAGCCCTGCGATGGTCCCACAATGGGAGAAAACTGTGATAAATGCCAAAATGGATACTGGGGTGACCCAGTCAATGGAGGCACTTGCCAACGTAAGTAGTAATGAAACATAATTTTTTTTGCAAGTGTCGATTGTTCAATTCAATTGCCTTTTCAGCTTGTGAATGCAACGGTCAAGCAAGTTTGTGCAATAGTGAAACGGGTAAATGTTATTGCACTACTAAAGGACTCGCAGGTGACCACTGCGAGAAATGTGATGCCAATAATCATTATCATGAGGATCCTAACAATAAAGGATCCTGCTATTGTAAGTACAAGCTGTACTAAATATAATATAATAATTAAAAATTTAAATATAATATATATATATAATTTTAATTTAATAAACGGATGAGTATGCTAAAAGAAAGGAGGTACTCACCAAAGACCTAATGACGCCATTAAATTTTGATAATGATAATTTTATTCATGATTTTTTTTATGTAGAAAGTCAGAAAGAAAAATAGCCTAAGATCAAAAAAACGCCTGTAGCTAATACCAAGTTTGAAAATAAAACAGTTGTAAAAAATATAATTAATTATATCGCCATATAACGGTGTGCTTTGTTTAACAAAATTTGCTAGTAAAGTGTTTAACAAAAACTAGTGTAACCGCCCTAACCGCCTAAAAAAAGGTGATTTTTAGGGAATTTATATTAAAAAAACTACTTTATCAATCATGTCAAAATTTTAGGAATATATTTACACGTGTTTTAAGAATACATAGTAAAATTATTGAAAAAAAAAATTAAATATTTTTTAAGTTATCGTCGATCTCCAACGGTGCTACAAAAAAATGCTCTTCACTGCTGCAGTGATTTCGGCCTTCTACGTGGATGAAATTTAAAAAAAAAAAATTCTTGTTAAACTAGATAATATTGTCTGTAAAATAAACTACGATAAAGAAAAAAATCAAAAAGTGACAAAATGACGGCGTTTTTTAAAAAAAAGTCGAATTTTACCCAAAATTTTGATCGTTTTTGGACTGCCAAAATTCGATTTTTGATCTGATCAAAAAATCGATAGTTCATTTTACGGAGAACTATATATAGAACGTGTAAAAAAAATTCGATAGTGATCGGATTATTTGTTTTTGATTTGCTTCGGAAAATGGTGTTTTGAGAAATGGTGTATAACGATCGTTATACTATATATATATACTTCAAATGGCTGTAACTCAAAAACTATTTAAAACATCGATTTAAAATTTTGGTATGTTATTTTTAAAGGTATAACCTATCGAAATATGGAAAAATTGAAGATTCGATTCTTTGAAAATTTCACCACTAGTTGTGCTCCTTAAATTCCTATAATATTAGTTTCATGGGTTGCACGTTTATTTTGTTATAAATAATTAAGATATAGCAATATTTTATATATATATATATATATATATTGTTATAAAAGTATAAAAATTGTCTACAAATCCGTATATAACATTTATTTTTCATAAAATTTAGCATAAAAAATGTGTAAAGTTGAAACTATAATTAGTAGTTATGCAGCGATTGGTGGTCAGTGGTTACATTTTTTAAAGATGTACTTATTAAATATTGCTAAAATTTGTTTCACAACATATATATTGTTATACATCGTTTAAAAGCTAATAAAACTATCTACAACTCTGTATTTAACAATTTATCTCATTCAAAACAAAATTATTTACAAAATATTTCGAAACTTTCAAGTGCCATTTTATATTATCAGTTTAATCCGTTGCACATTTTTTATATCCACGATTATTTTATTGTAAATAAATAAAATTTAATATTATTGTTATATATTGTTAGAAAGCTAATGAAATTATCTACAACCGTGTATATAACAATTTTTCAAGTTCAGAATAAAACTAGCTGTAAGTGGAATTCTGTCTTAAGGCAATTAGGGCATCGTGCCTTAAGGTAAATTGCTGGAACTTCCCGTACCAAAAATTATTATTTTTTTAAAAACGATTAACATTTTTGAATAAAATTTACTTCGAAAAAATAAGATTTTTGAGAAACTATAAATTGGACAAAAAAAATTATTTTTGAAAAAAAACTTTAAAAAAAATTAATTTTTTTTTTTTTAATTTTTTTTTTTTGAAAAAAAAAATGATTTATTTATTTTGACATATTTTGGAAGATCTGAACTTTTTTTCAAAGCAATCGTACTGCTTTAACTGCATAGAGACAAAATATAAAGCGCGTAAGCGCCGCGTCGCTGTCTAACGGGTAAACAATGGTACGGAACCCTTAGGAATGTAAACAAAATTTATACTTATTGTTAAAATCTCTATAAAATATCTGATAATTTGATGTGCATATGTCTAATGATCATTTTTGACCACCAAATGGCATTTTTTTTACTTTTTTCGTTAGATCTCCGAAACCGCTAGACCTGCCCTTATGAAAATTTGATCAGTTTTTCATCTTGTCAATACAAGTAAAACGCTTTTTGAATTATTAAAATCGGACGCTCCGTTCTCTTAAAAACTGATTTACGATTTTTTGGCACTTTTTGCCCCATATCTTCGGAACGACTAGACCTGCCTTCGCCAAAAACTAATCAGCACGTCTCCTTATCAATACGAATCGAATGTTTTTTAAATTATTCAAATTGCTTCATCCGTGTTCCCGAAATCGTCGACGAAAATTTTTATCCGCACGCACACACACACACACATACATCCATTTTTTCTAAGGTATGCCAAAATATTCAGAAACTTCTGAAACGTAAAGATATATAAAATTTTTTTTTTCGATTTTTTAGCGATTACTATAACTTACCCTGCGGGAAGTTAATTATTTACAAAATAGTTTTAATATTTGAAATCAAAATGGAGTGTTGTCTGTCACTCTATAATAATAGTTTTATTGGTCGCATTTTGTATACCCGCGTTTATTTTCTTATACAAAATTAAAATATAACGATAGTATTATATATTGTTAAAAAGATAATACAATTTTCTTCAAATCTGTATATAACGTTTAGGAGATGTGCATTATATATTAGGCTGTTAAATATCTCCCTTCCGCTTTTTCGCTCTTGGTTTATAATACAAAAAGGCGGAAGGGAGATATTTGACATATATAATTATTCCTCTTCCAGATGATCTCACAATAGATTACCAATTCACCTTCAACTTATCTAAAAAAGAAGACCGGCACTACACCAAGATCAATTTTCGCAATTCGCCCATCAAGCCAGATATCGATGCCGATTTTACAATAACGTGCAGCGTTTTAGCCAAAATGAATATCTCAATCAAGTCAGTACGAGGACTAGACAAGCCAATTTTTCAAGCCATGAATTGCACACAATTCAGACACAAATTCAGCAAAGCCGAGTACAATTTCGGAATGGAGGACAATGTCACTTTGACGACATTCTATGTGTCGGTTTATGATTTTCAGCCGCCGCTGTGGATACAGATATCGTTTTCGCAGTATCCGAAGTTGAATTTACAACAGTTTTTTATCACATTTTCAACGTAAGATGATAAAATTTTAAGTAATTTATTCGGTTTCTAGTTATATGGATTTTCTGACATATTGTTTTATCTTGCAGTTGTTTTTTACTACTGTTATTAGTAGCTGCCATTATGTGGAAAATTAAACAGAAGTGGGATATGTACAGACGACGACAAAGATTGTTTGTCGAAATGGAACAGATGGCTTCAAGGCCATTTTCACAGGTAGTAAAAGTTATACTTTTTTATTATTATTAACTTTCAGAAGGGTAAAGAGTGCAGAAAATACAAATCGAGTTTTTGATAGAACGGAGTATCCGATTTGAATGATCTAAAAAACATTCAATTTGTAATGATTGAAAGAACAGGTGATTAGTTTTTGGCAAAGACAGGTCCCGCCATTTTGAAGATACAGAGCTAAATGGGCAAAAAAATGGCAGTTTTTGAGTGAACTAAGCGTCCGATTTGAATGATCTAAAAGACTTTCTGCTTGTTTTAACTAAATAATTGCTCTTGGAAAAAAATTATTTCAAATATTTTTCTCAATTTTTTTTTAGTTTTTTTTCGATTTTTTGTTGTATATCGAAAATAAATCAGATTTTAATTTTTTAATTCTGACTAAATTTCTTTATACAATATACTTTAAACAAATAATTTTAACTTTGCAATTCAGTTTATATAATTCTTATAAATATTTATAATAATCTATTTGAGCACATTTAATATTCCTCGATCATTTCGTTACGGTACGGGAAGTTCTAGCAATTTGTCTTTTAAGGCACGATGCCATACATTAATCAGTTATTAATTTATTTTATAAAAATATAGCATAAACAAAATCTAACTTTTATTTGTGATTCTTTTTCTAGGTATTAGTAGAAATCGAATCTAAGGACACGATTTTATTAAGTCAAGATTCAAATAATATAACAACTGTTAGGAAAAGAAAAAAGGTAAGCAATTTAATTTAAATCATTTTTTGGGAGGGGTCCACAAAATGCCTTAAAAAGCGATCTTGTGATTTCTGGACGTCCTCTAACAGATAAAGGGGCGTCCATTAAGGGAAATGGGGAAGGGTTGAAAAAAATAACGTGGTGTGGGAGGGGTGTAAATTGTCAAAAAAAAATTTAAAAAAATGCGATTTCATTTCGTTAATTTAATTCGAAAAAAATGTTCAAAAATACACCTGATGTTGGTGGGGTTCAAAAATTTGTAAAATAATCGATCACGTGATGAAAAATGAAAATCGCGAGAAATCTTGTACTCAAAAAAATTAAAAATAGCGCGAACTTTTCGAGAATTCGAAAAATTCGTTCGAACATCGTTACATTTTTTTTTATTTTATTAATTATTACATTCATTGTTATGTTATTATAAATAATCCGGTTTAGATAATTTAAAAAACGTGGACATTTTTTTTTAACTTCCCGTAGGGTAGTTATAGTAATAATTAATGAAAATTTTTACATTTCTCGACGTTTTGAAGGTTTCTCGTCCACGTTTTTGGTCGCACGGATCAACCGACTTGAATGGTTTAAAAAACATTCGATTCCTATTGATAGGGAGATGTGCTAATTAGTTTTTGGCAAAGGCAGGTCCAGCCGTTCCGAAGATACGGGGCAAAAAGTGCGAAAATGTAACTCAGTTTTTAAAAGAACGGATCATCCAATTTGTATGATCCATAAAACATTCAGTTCGTAATGACGGGGAAAAGTGCTTATTAGTTTTTTGGCAAAGGTAGACACAGCGGTTTCGGAGATACAGAGCTAAATGTTAAAGTCATATGTACAGAGCTAAATACGCAGTTTTTGAGAGAACTAAGCGTTCGATTAAAATAATTCAAAGAACTTTCTGTTTCAACAAAATAATTGCTTTCGGGAAAAAAATTTGTTTCTAATTTTTTTTTTCAAAAAATATTTTTGTCAAAATTCAAAAAATGACCCATGCTAAGCACGGTCTAAGCGCCGCTCTGGTACAAATGTTTACCCGAGTGCGTTTAGACTTTTACGTACTGGAGCACTTTTCCAATTTTTTGAAAACTATTGAAAAATGTGAAAATGACGCCAAGCTAAGCACAATATAAGTGAAAGTCTGTGACTATACGGGAGCACTTTTTTTGTGTAAATTAGGCAATTTTTTTTTTAAATTGAATTCGAAATGAAATGACGATTGTTAATGTTCTGGTAAATAAGAAATTGATTTATGATTTACATTTGATCTGCTCAGATCATAACAAGATAGTAAAAATAATGAAAGTTACAGTATTTGTAATAATATATTTGAAAACGTTTAAGGGAAGTTCCAGCAATTTGCCTTAAGGCACGATACCATACACCACTAGTTTTTTTTGCTAATTTTAACAATCAGATTACAATATAATCTATAAGTTAAAAGGGATGGTATTGAAAATCAAAATCAAGAAAAAAATAGAATAAAGGACATTACAGAAAAGAAATAGAATAAATAAATGAATAGATAATAATTAAAATAATAGTATTAATAATAAAAATAATAATCAATAATGAATAATAATTATAAATAACTTGTTTGAAAATTTTCCTGTGCAAAACAGAGAAAATTATGTTGTGGACAGTAGATCACTAGGCCACTTTCTTTTGAGGCGTTTTAATTTTTCGACTGTCTGTACTATTTGCATTTGAAAATTGTTACGTAACTAAATTTACACACGGGGGTAATTTTTGCATTTTACAAAGAGGGGGGGTCCAAAAATCACTAAAAAATCTATAACGTAATTCATGGACGCTTCTTAGATTTGCTATTGCGAAGGTTTACCTTACAGTTTCAGCAAATCTTTATTACCACTTTCACCTAATTCATTCTCCTCCTCTCAGGACTCTCCGAGCCCCATAGCCCTGGAGCCCTGCAACGGCAACCGTGCAGCCGTGCTTTCTCTCCTCGTAAGACTGCCGAGCGGTTCGCCGAGCACCGCCCTAAGTTCATCCGTAAACACGCCGACGTCGCCCACAAACAACCAGTCCAGGTCCTGGTGTCAGCCTGCTGCCGGGTTGGCAGTGGCCAGCGCCCTGGTTACGCTGGGAAACCCCAGGAAGACCAGCGTCGACCAGGGCATCGGGAAAGATTTGAACAACTCGAACGTCACGGTGAACTCTGGGAAAAACGGCAAGAGGAAAAATCAGAGTCAACATCCTGCAGACGGATGCATATGACTATAGGTCGACGGTGTAAAGGACATAGTGATAAAGGATTGTTTTGGTAACAGATTTTTTTATATCATTTCTATCGAATGACAAGATTCGATAGAATCGTGTTTATTAAAGGATTGTTTTGTGTGGGTAATGGTAACAGATTTTTTTATATCATTTGAAGGAATGATACATCTTGATCGTGTTCTTTTATTTATAAATGACATTTAGGTTGTGTGTAAATATTGAAAAAGACAATTATTAGGTTTTAAGAAAGAATTTAAAGTGACAGTGGGACGATTTTGTGAGGAAAATTTGATGAGTTGTCCAATTTTTGAGTAGTCGTTGTAATAATTGACACTTAGATAAAATTATAATTATCTATGATGAATGATTGATTAATGGAGTTTTTAATATGTAAGGGATTGATGAAAGGTTTCTGATTACACATATATATATATATATATATATTTATATAAGGTTGTCAAATATCTCCCTTCCGCTTTTTTGCTCTTGGTTTATAATACAAAAAGGCGGAAGGGAGATATTTGACAACCTATTATATATATATATATATATATATATATATATATTAGGGTGGTCCTTAATATGGATGTTTTCGTATTTCCTTGCTCCCAAAGTCTCAAATGGTTCCAAATTGATAAAAAACAATTCTCTGAAAGTTTAAGCTCTTAATATTAACGTTTAGATAGAGCGCAATTCAATCAAACTTCATATGGAAAGAGCATGGAAACAATTTTGAAAATTAAAAAAAAATGTTTTAGGTATAACTTAGCGACAAATGAATGAGTTTTATTCATTCATTTGTTCGCTAAATTACATCTAAAAAACATTTTTATAATTTTTGAAAATTTTTCCATGCTATTTCCATACAAAACTTTGATTGAATTGCGCTCTATCTAAACGTTAATATTAAGAGCTAAAACTTTCAGAGAATTGTTTTTTATCTATTTGGAACCATTTGAGCTCCTGGGAGCAAGGAAATTCGAAAAATGACTATTTTAAGGACCACCCTAATATATATATATATATATATATATATATATATATATATATATATTAGGGTGGTCCTTAATATGGATCTTTTCGAATTTCCTTGCTCCCAAGAGCCCAAATGCTTCCAAATTGATAAAAAAATAATCTCTGAAAGTTTTAGCTTTTAAAATATCTGATAAATTAGTCCTTAATTAATTCGTTAGTCCGCACACTAACGAATTAAACAATTTTATAAAATATATCTTATAAATATAAATAAGTAAATACAATGTTTACAAAATTTTGATTCCTAAGTTATAAAATTCAAAAAAACAAATGAAATTGTTTTACCCATTTTATTTTCATAAGAAACTTTGATTGAATTGCGGACTATTTTAAAGTTAATATTAAGAGCTAAAACTTTCAGAGATTATTTTTATATCAATTTGAAAGCGCTTTAGAAGCATTTGAGCCTCTGAGAGCAAGGATATTTGAAAATGTTTATATTATAGACCATCCTAATATATATATACATATATATATATATATATATATATATATATATATATATATATATATTAAGTCCTTAATATGGATATTTCTAAATATCCTTGCTCCCAGAGGCTCAAATGCTTCCAAATTGATAAAAATATATTCTCTGAAAGTTTTACCTTTTAAAATTAACTCTAACAAAGTCTGCACACCAACCAATTAAACAATTTTATAAAACATTTTCAATTTTTTTATGTAAATTTTTTTATTGATAATCAAAATAAGCAAATACAATGTTTACAAAATTTTGATTCTATAAAATTATAATGTTTAAACAAACGCAAATACAATGTTTACACAATTTTGATTCTATAAAATCCTGAAAAACAAATGAATTTTGACCCATTTTATTTCCATAAGAAACTTTGATTGAATTGCGGACTATCTTAAGGGGGTATTCTAGTGTAAAGCTATGAATTTTAGGTCATTTTTAAAGTGTCGTAAAAGAAAGCAATGAATGTTTTTACTATCCATTTTTTCACCACTTGTTTATTAATATTATTAAAATACAAAACAAAAATTAAAAAATAAAAAAGTTGAAAATTGTAAAAACAGGCAGCTGATGAAGTGAGTGGTCTCCAAAAATTGGCTCCTCAGTCTTGACATCATTTCAGCCCTCCTAGCCATCGGAAATGCAAAAAATGAAAAGATTATTAATCTACAATGATGTCGCAATCGCCCAAACTACTAGCGATGAGTAAACAAAAATGTTTTTTTACGATTTGGCGACTGTTTGAAAAAAAAAGTGTTTTTTTACTGTTTTTTTTTTGAGTTTCTCGAACTTTTTAAAAATAGTAAAAATTTGAATTTGGGGATGATGCTAGTTCGGGCTATAGATAGGTCTATAAACAAGACTCTCTGAACATTTTGAGTGAATCGGTCGGTTAAAATTCGAGAAATCGTGTCAACAGTACTGAAAAAGTCTGTTCTGAGAAAAACGCATTTAAAGTTTTGCCTGAAGCCAAATCAGTATGGAGTCCGAGCCAGTAAAATGCCTATTTCTCCAAAAATAATTCAAATTTTCAAAAACCTTCTCGTACCTATATTCTTAGATAGTTAAACTTTGAAAATATGAAATAAAAAAAATCGATTTTTTTGAATTTGCTTTTAAAATTAACTCTAACAAAGTCCGCACACCAACCAATTAAACAATTTTATAAAATATATCAAATTTTTGTTGTAAATTTTTTATCAATAATCAAAATAAGCAAATACAATGTTTACACAATTTTGATTCTATAAAATTCTGAAAAACAAATGAAATTTTACCCATTTTATTTTCATAAGAAACTTTGATTGAATTGCGGACTATCTTAAAGTTAATATTAAGAGCTAAAACTTTTACAGATTTTTTTTTTATCAATTTGTAAGCATTTGAGCCCTTGGAAGCAAGAAAATTCAAAAATGTCCATATTAAGGACCACCCTAATATATATATATATATATATATATATATATATATATATAATAGGTTGTCAAATATCTCCCTTCCGCCTTTTTGTATTATAAACCAAGAGCAAAAAAGCGGAAGGGAGATATTTGACAACCTAATATATATTAACAAAGTCTAGTAATCGGGCATAACATCAATAAAAAACATGAATTTCTTTCAAAAATTTATTTTAAATCCATACGTTTCGGCTATAATCCTAGCCTTCATTCAGTGGAAACTAAAAATAAAATTAAAACTACATTAAAACACTCCAATTCAATTGTTTTAGTTTTAATTTTATTTTTAGTTTCCACTGAATGAAGGCTAGGATTATAGCCGAAACATATGGATTTAAAATAAATTTTTAAAGAAATTCATGTTTTTTATTGATGTTATGCCCGATTACTAGACTTTGTTAATATATATATATATATATATATATATATATATATATAATGTGTGTATGTTTGTGTGTGCATATTTATGTTTGAATTTAAATTATCAATTATCAAGACATTACTAAGATATTATGCGAGTAGTAATTAAATATACATGTACATATATTGTGATATAAAATATAAAATCTTTATTATAAATATAAATATATAAATATAAATACTAAAATTAGTAACATGGATTTTATACATGTAACAGTAATTTAATTTTTTTTAAAATAATTTTGCTTTTAATTTTAATTCACCATTTGTGGAATGTGAAATATGAAACAGTAATCTAAAATTTAATTGACAAGTAACTAAGTAAATTCACACATTCCAAAATTTTTAATGTTAGAGCTTAATAGACAACCTAAAATAATTAATTAATTAATTAATTTGTTTAAAGCAAAGTGCAGTTTTGTATATAATCTGTTAAATACTCATTTTCAACAGCTTAGTCATTGTGATATGGTTTATGATAATTATTATTGTATTATATACATATTTCGAATTAAAATCCGTTTTTCATTTTATATATATATATATATATATATATATATATATAATGAAAAGATTGGATTTATTCTAGAATACAAAAATAAAATATCAATGAGACTTATATAGCGCTATGTAATTATTTAGGGTATAAATTTTGCAATAATAATGTGTATGAATCTGTATTTGTTTAGCAAAAAAATTGTTTGATAGGAATTGATTGGTGTGACAAAAATTATCGAGTCGATAAGGATATCGTAATCGGAATTAATTAATATAACTGCAATGATAGTCATTATTAGGTAATTATTTTAAAAATAAAAAATTGAATAAACGTCGGTATTAATTTAAAATTGAATAAATATTATTGTTTTAAGTATATTAAATGAATTTTATAACTCTTCTGACAAATTGTTTCTTGAAATATTTGATGTACAAAATTCGAGGATTTTTTTGCAAAAAAGTGCAAGCAACGGTGTACTTTTAATTTTAAAGCACCTAGTGTATTATATTTGCTATAACTTTAAAACCGTTTGTTTAATATGATTGGTGTATTCGGCGAATTTGTTCAAAATTAATCAGTTTACAAACGTCTCTAACAAAAAACGACCCTAAAGCAACTCGGTATATTTAAAAAACGCAATTAAAATAAAGTACGTGAATAATTTGAGTATAAAGTATACTAGTTTCCATACAAAACGAACTTTTACAAAGACTTTTTTCATGCGTTTGTAGTGAAATCTTGCTTTGGAATTGGGTATACCTAGTGCATATTTTTACTTAATCGCTTGTAACTTCTAAATCATTTGTTCAATATGAATTATGTCTTTGACAAATTTATGCAAAAACAAGTCAACAATGTTGTCTAATATATTTCGGCTCTACAGCAACTTGGTGTACTTTAAAACGCTTTTTAAAGCATAAAACTTTGCTTCCGCCTTTATTGTAAAGAATTCGCTTAATAAAAACGGCGGAAGCAAAGTTGTACACTAAATATTTATAAAGTGTTGCACTAATGTAATATATATGAACATAACTTTAAAATCATTCGTTTAATATGAATGATGTATTCGGCGAATTTGTTCAAAATTTACAAATGTTTCTAACAAAAAACGGCTCTAAAGCAACTCGGTATATTTTAAAAACGCAATTGAAATGAAATATGTAAATAATTTGAGTGTGAAGTATACTAGTTTCCATACAAAATGAACGTTTTCAAAGATCTTCTGCATAGTGTTTGTAGTGAAATCTTGCTTTGGAATTGGGTATACCTAGTGCATATTTTTACGTAATCGCTTGTAATTTCTAAACCGTTCGTTCAATATAAACGATGTATTTGGCAAATTTATGCAAAAACAAGTCATTAACAATGTTGTATAATATATTTCGGCTCTACAGCAACTTGGTGTACTTTAAAACGCATTTGAAAGCATACAACTTTGCTTCCGCCTTTGTTGTAAAGAACTCGCTTAATAAAAACGGCGGAATCAAAGTTGTACGTCTTAAAACTTGAAATTTTATACATTTTGGTTTCTTATCGGCTCGATTATAATTCTTACCCGGCGATTGCAATGTAATGTAATTAGAAGTGTGATTTTTATATGTGTATATATATTTGTTTTAGTTCTAAGGCGAGACATTTTGTGTATAAATAATGTTTTATATTTAGGACAATTTTATTTATTGCTTTTTGATACCGTAGCTGTAAGTTATGAATAAATCTAAATACTATTTTAGTCTTTGTGGTACGCACATCACCATCGGAAATCATCGAAAAAAAAAATTAAATCACGATTTAGTATAAAAACATTCAATTGTCTAATTATATATTTAAAAAAATGCTGAACTTTTCCCATAAATTCATTACCATTCATTCATTTTTTTTAAATCAGATGTGTACGTATGTGTGCGCGTGTTTTCATATAAAGAATGTAGTTAGATAAACAAAAACTAATTAATTAATCGATTGATTGATGATTTTTTTAAAATAATTTAATTAATTTAAAGAGAGCGGTTAAGATTTAATATTAATAAAATTATTATATAAATATTATTATTATTATCATTATAATCGTGTGAAATTGTAAATTTTTTCCTCTCCGAAATGAAATATTGTATATATAGTATTATAATTAATAATTATATATATATGAATATATATTAACAAAATAATTGTTTGTGATTTTAACATCCATATTATTTTTTTTATAGATGTTGCACACTATTTGATAATTCTCAAATCTTTTGTAAATCATAATCTATTATTTATTATTAGAAGACCCAGGCAGTCGATGAGTATAATTAGTTGCTGAATCAATGTAAGGCCCAATAAAAGACTCAGTAGTTGTCGATGATTCAGAAAAAGGCCCAGCAGTTGTTAATGGATCAATAAAAGGCCCAGCAGTCTTTGGAGCATTTATAGAAGATTCAGCAGTTTTTGGTGTATTAATACAAGGCCCAGCAGTCTTTGATGAATGAATAGAAGATTCAACAGTATTTATTGGATCTATAGAAGTTTCAGCAATTTTTGGTACATTAATACAAGTCCAAGTAGTCGTTGGTGGGTTAATGGAAGGCCCAGCGGCCTTTGCTGGATCAATAGAAGCCGAAGCAGACATCAGTGTATCGATAAAAGGCCCAGCAGTTGTTTGATGAACCAATAGAAGGCCCAGAAGTTGATAATGAATCAATAAAAGGCCCAGCAATGTTTTGTGGATTAAACAGAAAGCCCAGCTGTCTTTGCTGATTCAATAGAAGACCCAGTAGTTTTTGCTGGACCGATAAAAGGCCGAGCAGTTGTTTGATGGACCAATGGAAAGCCCAGCAGTCTTTGCTAGATCAACATAAGGCCCAGCAGTTATTTGATGGACCAATGGAAAGCCCAGCTGTCTTTGCTAATTCAATAGAAGACCCAGTAGTTTTTGCTAGATCAATATAAGGCCCAGCGGTCTTTGTTGGGCCAATGGAAAGCCCAACAGTCCTTGCTAGATCAACATAAGGCCCAGCAGTTATTTGATGGGCCAATGGAAAGCCCAGCAATCCTTGCTAGATCAACATAAGGCCCAGCAGTTGTTTGATGGACCAATAGAGAGCCTAGCAATCCTTGCTAGATTAACATAAGGCCCAACAGTCTTTGTTGGATCAATATAAAGCCCAGCAGCCTTTGCTAGATAAATATAAGGCCCAGCAGTCTTTGTTGGGCCAATGGAAAGCCCAGCAGTCCTTGCTAGATCAACATAAGGCCCAGCAGTTATTTGATGGGCCAATGGAAAGCCCAGCAATCCTTGCTAGATCAACATAAGGCCCAGCAGTTGTTTGATGGACCAATAGAGAGCCTAGCAATCCTTGCTAGATTAACATAAGGCCCAACAGTCTTTGTTGGATCAATATAAAGCCCAGCAGCCTTTGCTAGATAAATATAAGGCCCAGCAGTTGTTTGATGGACCAATGGAAAGCCCAGCAGTCCTTGCTAGATCAACATAAGGCCCAGCAGTCTTTGTTGGACCAATATAAAGCCCAGTAGTTTTTGCTAGATTAACATAAGGCTCAGCAGTTATTTGTTGGGCCAATGGAAAGCCCAACAGTCCTTGCTAGATAAATATTAGCCCCAGCAGTTGTTTGATGGACCAATGGAAAGCCCAGCAGTCTTTGCTAGATAAATATAAGGCCCAGCAGTTGTTTGATGGACCAATGGAAAGCCCAGCAGTCTTTGCTAGATCAACATAAGGCCCAGTAGTTATTTGATGGACCAATGGAAAGCCCAGCTGTCTTTGCTAGATCAACATAAGGCCCAGCAGTTGTTTGATGGACCAATATAAAGCCCAGCAGTTTTTGCTCGATCAATATAAGGCCCAGCAGTTGTTTGATGGACCAATAGAGAGCCTAGCAATCCTTGCTAGATTAACATAAGGCCCAGCAGTTGTTTGATGGACCAATGGAAAGCCCAGCAGTCTTTGCTAGATCAACATAAGGCCCAGCAGTCTTTGTTGGACCAATATAAAGCCCAACAGTCCTTGCTAGATCAACATAAGGCCCAGCAGTTGTTTGATGGATCAATATAAAGCCCAGCTGTCTTTGCTAGTTCAATATAAGGCCCAGCAGGCTTTGTTGGACCAATAAAAAGCCCAGCAGTGTTTTGTGGATTAACACGAAAGCCCAGCTGTCTTTGCTGATTCAATAGAAGACCCAGTAGTTTTTGCTGGATCCATAAAAGGCCCAGCAGTTGTTTGTGGATTAATAGAAAGCCGAGCAGCTTTTATTTGGTCTACTACGTCATAAAACAAACAGCTGGACTAATTTTGGCAAGTAAGTGAATTAATTTATTTTAGAAAAAAGTATCTCGTCTTTTATTATCTAATTTAGTCAATTTTATCTAGCCGTACTAGAAATTTTGTTCGCGCGAAATTTAATTTATTTACTTTTCTTGCATTTCATCTAATCTTATAATAATTCAAAATATTTTAAGCCAAATAAAACAATATATCATTTAGCACATGCAACTGAAAAGGGGGAGTCAAATTATAATCTATTCATTTCTTTATTTATTTTTAACTTTCCCGTAGGGCAAGTTATAGTAATCGCAAAAAAATCGAAAATGAACATTTTTATATATCTTTACGTTTCAAAGGTTTCTGAATATTTTGGCATACCTTAGAAAAAATGGATGTATGTGTGTGTGTGTGTGTGTGTGTATGTGTATGTATGTATGTACGTGTGTGTATGTATGTGCGGATACAAATTTTCGTCGACGATTTCGGGAAGACGAATCAACCGATTTGAATAATTTAAAAAACATTCGATTCGTATTGATAAGGAGACATGCTGATTAGTTTTTGGCAAAGGTAGGTCTAGCCGTTCCGAAGATACGGGGCAAAAAGTGTCGAAAACGGTAACTCAGTTTTTAAGAGAACGGAGCGTCCGATTTGAATAATTCAAAAAACATTTTATTTGTATTGACTGAATGAAGAATTGATCAAAATTTTGGAAAGGCAGGTCCAACGACTTTGGAGATATGGAGGGAAAAGTAAAAAAATGAGCCATTTGGCGGTCAAAAATGATCATTAGACATATGCACATCAAATTATCAGATATTTTATAAAGATTTTAACAATAAGTATGAATTTTGTTTACATTCCCATGGGTTCCGTACCAATGTTTACGCGTTAGACGGCGACGCGGCGCTTACGCGCTTTGATATTTCGTCTTTATGCAGTGAAAGCAGTACGATTGTTCTGAAAAAACCTTCAGAATTTCCAAAATATGTCAAAATGAAGAAAACATTTCTCTTTAAAAAAAAAAAATTGTCTTCAAAAAAAAAAATTTTTTTTAAAAAAGTAATTTTTTGTCAAATTTATAGTTTCTCAAAAATCTAATTTTTTCGAAGTAAAATTTTTTCAAAAATGTTAATCGTTTTTAAAAAAATTATAATTTTTGGTACGGGAAGTTCCAGCTACTTGCCTTAATTGCCTTAAGACAGAATTCCACTTACAGCTAGTTTAATATTAGAACTAATGAGAAGCGTAAAGGCGTAAATATATATATTTTGTTGTTAACCTGTTAACTGTTAACCATTAACCATTTTTTGTCGACTAATCAACTGATTGCTATGTTTTTGAAGTTAGTTCAGTTAATAATCAATACTTTCTAAATGTTGGAAAGACATAAAAGATGTTATCTAGGTTTGGTTAATAAAACCATGTCAAATAAATAAATATAAAATCTTTATTACAAAATCATGTATCAGTTGATTCTATTTTATTGGCTTCTTGCACAGACTCTTGATTTTCTTCCTCTTTTGGTTGATTTTGTTTCTTTACCAATTCCACCAAGTACTTGTACCGCAGGATGCACTCCTCCTGGAAAATCAATTAAAACTTCTTTATATATTCATATAAATAATATTATATCAATAGTTCATATTCCAGTTACCTTATTTTTTACTTGAACACATTTGGCAATCTTCTCCCACCTATCCTGCGTTGAATTTTTAGGATACTTTGTCAAAGCGCTCTCTAAAGCCTTCTGCTGTTCCTGGCTCCAACTGTTCTCGACATTGCTCACATTTTCTGTTAAAGCTTCACCTAATTTCCCTCCTTTTGTTTTCACCTACACAAGATCAGTTAATAAATATTGGAAATTAATTATAAATTTTGTAAAGAATTGTAAGAATGGCATCTGGCTTTATAATGTACTAGCAAACCCGACGCACTCCGTTTCGCAACAAGATGGTTTCGTGAGAAAGATGAAGAATTTTTCTGTTTGAAAAGGAAAACTTTGATTTTATTACACAACAGTAATGAATTTATTTCGATTACAAAAATGAAGTGTTTTTTAGTTGAACTTCTCTTAGTAAATGAAAGTAAATCCGCAAATTATCCGTTTCATTGAAGTGCTCTTTGGTAAACCACATTTTTTGTTTTTTGGTCTGACGTTAACACAAACAAAGCGGATGGTTTTCCAACTCGTAAACAGGCAACGTATAACTGCCCATGTGAAAAACAATGATTTTCTAAATAATCTATTTGAAATTTATCCCGCAAACACTAAGCGATTGGCCTTGAGACTTGTTATTGCGAACTGAAAATTGCAATCGTTTGAAGTCAATCGAAAGACCAGTCGGAATCATTGGTATGTCACCAAATCACCAACAATTTTTGATTGAATGGTGAAATTCGGTGCGTGTACATCATTATTCTTTGCGGCAAGAATTGCTCGTTGACTTAACCAAGCATAATTCTGATAATTCTCACTAATGTCATTACTCGAATTTTTAATTACGGTGCGTGAAGTTCCAGCAATTTGCATTAAGGCACGATGCCATGCACAACTAATTTTCTTAACTATAAACCTTGCGGAGCCCGAGACCTTTCCAACGAATGCAAAATTGTCGAAATCGGTTCGTGCGTCCTGGAGTTATTTCGTCAGGAAGGAAAACCCGCCTTATTTTTATATATATAGAAGATATCAAAAGCCAATAAATAAAAAAAATATATAAATTTTCTGGTATGTTACCTTTTTGGGAACCTCAGGCAATATATCGACTGTTGTTTGCGGAGTCTCTTCTTGATTTCCGACACGGTAGAAGTTTTCTTTCATTTTAGCTGCCATGTGTGTCACTTCAGGTACTGGTCTAGAAATGTAAAAAATACATGTATTGATCTAGGGCAGTGATTCCCAAAGTGGTCCACATGGATTCCCAGGGGTCCAGGGCGACTTTCAAGGGGTCCACGGCGGCAAAAACAAAATTTGGGTGTCCACGAAATAAAATGGAGGTCCCCACGGCAGTGGATTACAATACACCATGTGAAAATCTATTTATTTACGTTAAACGATAACATAATATATAGATTCACAAAAAATCTTAATATAGTTGGCAATATTTAGAAATGATTCAAAAAGTAAAGAAAAAACTAGCTGTAAGTGGAATTCTGTCTTAAGGTAATTAAGGCATCGTGCCTTAAGGCAAATTGCTGGAACTTCCCGTACCAAAAATTTTTATTTTTTTAAAAACAATTAACATTTTTGAAAAAAATTTACTTTGAAAAAATAAGATTTTTGAAAAACTATAAATTGTACAAAAAATTACTTTTTTTTGAAAAAAAAAATTTTTCTTTAATTTTTTTTTTGAAAATTTTTTTTTTCTTTATTTTGACATATTGTGGAAGATCTGAACTTTCTTTTCAAAGCAATCAATCGTACTGCTTTAACTGCATAGGGACAAAATATAAAGCGCGTAAGCGCCGCGTCGCTGTCTAACGCATAAGCATTGGTACGGAACCCATAGTAAGGTAGACAAAATTCATACTTATTGTTAAAATCTCTATAAAATATCTGATAATTTGATGTGCATATGTCTAATGTCTAATGATTATTGTTGACCACCAAATGGCTCATTTTTTTTACTTTTTCCTCTATATCTCCGAAACCGATTCTTCATCTTGTCAATACAAGTGAAATGTTTTTTGAATTATTCAAATCGGACGCTCCGTTCTCTTAAAAACTGAGTTACCGTTTTCGGCACTTTTTGCCCCGTATCTTCGGAACGGCTAGACCTGCCTTCGCCAAAATCTAATCAGCACGTCTCCTTATCAATACGAATCGAATGTTCTTTTAATTATTCAAATCGGTTGATCGGTGTTCCCGAAATCGTCGACGATCGTTTATAAAAACAGTTTGTTCAAAATATTTTTTTCAAATTACAATTGCGGACTTTTAGTATAATTTTTAACTCGATTATATGTTACAATCATCTTTTACCATGCTTATATTATATTTTATATTTTTAATCTTTTAATCTATATGTTTTTTCGCATTTGAGACTTCTATAAAACTCTGTTCAATTTTCTTCATAATTAACTTGAAAAAATTACTATTGGCTTGTTTTTCTTTTTTTTAATTTTATGAAATTAAATTCGCCTTTGGAATTTTAAATTCAGCAATTTTCTCATTCATAACGTTTTACAAAAGATAAAAAACACATTGATTCACATAATTAATTTGATAAGTAGATGTAATTTAATTTTAATTAAGAAAAAACAAATTTTAATTAAGATTTTTCAAAAATCCGGGACAAATATTGATTTTGAAAAAAACCCGTATCAAAAGATGAAAACCCGGAACTGTCCCGGAGAAACCATAATATAGGGGGTCCATGACAGAACGAAAAATATCGCAAGGGGTCCACGGCACAAACAAGTTTGGGAACCTATGATCTAGGGTAAGGGGCGTTTTTTGTTAAGATTTTATTGATTACCTATTCATGGCTTCGGCTATCCTCTCCCATCGCTCAGGGGTGCCCCCAGGATACTTTTTAACAAGCCTTATCAATTCGGCTAAATCATCGTCTGTCCAGAGACCGCCTGATATAATAGGTCTCATCTGTTTAATAAAAGAACATTGTATTTTTGTATCTAAATACTAATATTCAACCATTTTTTACCATTGGTTTGTTTCTATTTTTGCTGCTCGTATCGTTGTTTTGTTGCTGCAATTTTTGATAGTCTTCATCGCTCATCTCTGGTGGCTTGAATTGCTGCTGCCGCTTTCTCCTTGTTGCTGCTCGGCTTTCTTTTTGTCTCTCGTATTGCTCACGAGCTCTTTCTAATTCTTCTTGCTCTTGCTGCTCTCTAAAAGGTGATGGAATTTTTTGTTAGACCAATAGAGAAAAATAATTTAAAATTTAACTAAATTGAATATAAACTAGTGGTGTATGGCATCGTGCTTTAAGGCAAATTGCTGGAACTTCCCATACCGTAATGAAATAAATAAATATTCGAGAAATTTTAAACTTTTTCAAATATAAAGAAACATTAACAATCGTCATTTCATTTCGAATTCAATTTCAAAAAAAAAAATAGTTGCCTAATTTACACAAAATTGAAAAAGTGCTCCCGTACAGTCACAGTCTAAACGCGCTTGCAAATAATTCTGTGCGACATTTTCACTTATACTGTGCTTAGCTTGGCGGCATTTATAAGAACTAAAATGATTGTTGTTAAATTGAGGAGGCTACATTTTAATATACCTCGTTTTATATTTTTGGACCGGTTCGATTTTTATTTGTTTATAACTTCTAAACAAATTGTCCGATTGTTTTGCAATATCCAGCAAATTTATAGCCAATTAAATTATCTACAACTTTTGTTAATAACAAAATGTTGTATCTCATATCCTTTTACCCAAAATTTGCAATGAAACAGGTTGTTGTTAAATTTTGGAGGTTGCATCAGTATATCTTGCTTCATACTTTTGGACCAGCTCGATTTTTATTTATTTATTTATAACTTCAAAACGAAATGTTTCACCATTTTGCAATATTCAGCAAATTTATAGCCAATTAAATTATCTACAATTTTTATTAACAACAAAAATTGGTATCTCTTGTCCTTTTATCAAAAAATTACATTGAAAACGGTAGTTGCTAAATTTTGGAGGTTACATCGTACTCATGTATCTTACTCTGTCAGGTATATCGCGCTCTTTTTCGCACTAGTGTTTTATATATCTCTCTCTCATTTTCTCACTATATACTGTTGTCTCTTTTACGTTTAATCAAAACAGACTCTATATCACATCGCGACTTAAGAAGTTTTACTTCAAAAATAAAATTCTATTTTACTAATTTATACATCGCCAACCTAAGAAGTTGAATTCAAATGTAAATCATAAATCACAAATCAATTTATCTAGAAAGAACATTAACAATCGTCATTGCATTTCGAATTCAATTTCAAAAAAATAGTTGCCTAATTTACACAAAATTGAAAAAGTGCTACCGTATTGTCACAGTCTAAACGCATTTGCAAATAATTCTGTGCGACATTTTCACTTATACTGTGCTTAGCTTGGCGGCATTTTCACATTTTTTATTAGTTTTCTCACAAAATTGGAAAAGCGCTCCAGTACATAAACAGTCTGAACGCATTTGGGTAACGCATTTGTACCAGAGTGGCGCTTAGACTGTGCTTAGTCCGGGCAATTTTTTGAATTTTTAATCCAAAATTACAAATTTTTGGAAAAAAAAAATTAGAAACAAAATTATTTTTGTGCTGAAGCAATTATTTTGTTGAAACAAGGAGAAAGTTTTTTGAATCATTTAAATCGGACGCTTAGTTCTCTCAGAAACTTCCATTTTTTTTAACATTTAGCTCTGTATCTCCGAAACCGCTGGGCCTGTCTTTGCCAAAAACTAATCACCTCTTCTCCCAATCATTACTAATCGAATGTTTTTTAGATCATTCAAATCCGATACTCCGTTCTCAAAAACTCGATTTCTATTTTCTGCACTCTTTGCTCTTTATCTCTGTAACGGCTAGACCTGCCTTTGCCAAAAACTAATCAGCACATCTCCCTATCAATAGGAATCGAATGCTTTTTGAATTATTCAAATCGGTTGATGCGTGCGCCCGAAAACGTCGACGAAAATTTGTATCCGCACACACGCACACATACATCCATTTTTTCTAAGGTATGCCAAAATGTTCAGAAACCTTTGAAACGTAAAGATAAATAAAAATTTTCATTTTCGATTTTTTGCGATTACTATAACTACCCTACGGGAAGTTAAAAATAATTTAAAATTTTTCTAATTTATTTATAGAGCAAAGAGCAAATAATACAAAAAATAGCGAGGACTAAAACGAAAAACAACACTATGTTCATGTAGAAAAATAAACAAAAGGTACCTTAAAATTTCCTCTTCTTTCAGCCTCTTCCTCTCATCTAATTCATATTTAATATTTTTTATTATACTAGGTAAATTCCAAATCAATTTCACAATTTGGAATGGCAATGTATCGAAGACACTTGGCTTGGGAATATCATCAAACATATTCACATTATCCGACTTATTCATCTTTTTTTGAGTCTTCTTGAGACGGGACATCATTAACTTTTCCTACAACAAAGGTAAAGCTTTTATAAATAATAATTTGTATTTATTTAGTTTTTTTTACTAAATAAATATGTTTTTTGTATTACTGCACTATGTTTCTTTTCGGCAAACGCTGCCCAGGCTACAATGTATTGTCCGACTGTTATTAAAACAAATAAAATCACAACCATTTCCAGAAGTCCCATTTTACGTACTCTCCTGTAATAATACATGGCAGACTTCCAATTTGGCAAACCATTTTTGAGAACTTCATCGTACCTAAAATAAATGATAATTATAATTAAAATATTATTAAGTTATGAATTGTTTATTCTATTTAGTATACAACTTTGCTTCCGCCGTTTTTACTATATAAGTTCTTTACAATAATGGCGGAAGCAAAGTTGTGTGTTTTCAAATGCGTTGTAAAGTATACCAAGTTGCTGTAGGGCCGAAATATGTTAGACAACATTGTTAATGACTTGTTTTTGCATAAATTTGCCAAATACATCGTTTATATTAAACGAATGGTTTAGAAGTTACAAGCGATTAAGTAAAAATACGTACTAGGTATACTTAGTTCCAAAGCAAGATTTCGCTACAAACACTATGCAGAAAATCTATCGAAAACCTTCAGTTTGTATGGAAACTAGTATACTTGATACTTAAATTATTCATGTACTTAATTTCAATTGCGTTTTTTAAATATACCGAGTTGCTTTAGAGTCGTTTTTTGTTAGAGACGTTTGTAAATTGATTAATTTTGAACAAATTTGCCTCATACATCATTCATATTAAACGAATGGTTTTAAAGTTATGTGCATATATATTACATTAGTGCAACACTTTATAAATATTTAGTGTACAACTTTGCTTCCGCCGTTTTTATTAAGCGAGTTCCTTACAATAAAGGCGTAAGCAAAGTTGTATGCTTTCAATTGCGATTTTAAAGTATACCGAGTTGCTGTAGAGTGTAATATTGTTAGACAATATTGTTAAATATTTAATTTTGAATAGATTTGTCAAAGACATCATTCATATTAAATGAATCGTTTAGGAATTACAAGCAATAAAGTAAAAATCATACTAAGTATACTGGATTCCAAAGCAAGATTTCATTCAAA